TTTTTCCTTTCCAAACTGAACGCCTTTAATTTTTTTTTTTCTTGCCTAAGTGCACTGGCAAGAACAAATGATTAGAATGGACATTCTTGTCTTTCTCCTGATATTAGGGTAAAGTACTCAGTCTTCACAGTGAAGTTGGTTAGCTGTAGGTTTCACACAGACCCTCTCTATTGGGTTAAAAAAAAATCTGCCTTCCTTCGTTCCCTTGCTGAGGGAGTTTACTGAGGATAGACATTAATTTTTTCTAACTCTGGGCAGATACTCGTTGAGTCCTCTCTCCTGCTCTAAGGCATGACGTCCTGGAAATCTGCATCTTCCCTCAACCCTTCAGATCTCCAGTTTCCTGTGTGAAACTTCTGGTGCACCATGCCAGAGTAGATACCAGATTTTGTCAAATGCTTCTTCTGCACTACTGAGATGACCATAGGATTTTTCTTTCTTAGTTTGCTAATGTGGTAAACTACACAGACTGATTTTCAACTCTTAAACCAACCCTGCATTCCTGGGCTAAACCCCACTTTGGTAATATCACATTATTCTTTCCATGTACAGCTGGATTAGATTTGCTCAAATTGTGTACAGGGATCCTTCTGTATTCACGAAGGATCTTAGTCTTTAGATGTCTCTCCTTACAATGTCTTTGTCTGGTTTTGGTATCAGGACGATGCAGGCCTCAAAGAATGAGTTGGGAAGTGTTCCCTCTTTTCAATTTTCTAGAAGGAGTGGGTGGAACCGGCAGCCCTTCTCCCTTCGACGCTTGGTAGAACTGCCCAGCAAAGCCACTGTACCTGCAGCGGGTACTATCCTCTGCCCTGTGAACACCAGGCACCGATTCTCTCTTAATCCTTTGAACTTCATCTTTGCCTGGCCTTGGACTGCTCCCTGTATATCTGCTCTTAGCTGGATCCCTGCCAGGGAGCCAGGGGGAGGTGGCTGACTCCAGCTCTCTGTGCACCTCTTCTCCTGCTCTGACCTGCAAACGCCTTTGTCTCTCTGAGCTCTCATCCCCCATCCCCTCGGCTCAGACAGCCTGTTTAGCTCTGCTTGGGTTTCCCCTGTGCCATAGCCTGAAAACTCTCAGGGCAGTGAGCTGAGGCAACTGTAGTGCTCATTCTGTTTTTGCCTGTGGTATAAAAAACATTATTTGGGGGGCGCCTGGGTGGCTCAGTGGGTTAAAGCCTCTGCCTTCGGCTCGGGTCATGATCCCGGGGCCTGGGATCAAGCCCCACGTTGGGCTCTCTGCTCAGTGGGGAGCCTGCTTCCCTTCCTCTCTCTCTCTGCCTGCCTCCCTGCCTACTTGTGATCTCTGTCTGTCAAATAAATAAATAAAATCTTAAAAAAAAAATTGGAAAAAGAAAAATAAAAGATACTTGGTTGCCATCCCTGGTTCCTGGCACAGAGCTCCTAAAAACCTTGGAATTTCCCGAGTGACAAGGGTGACAGAAGTGTTTTGTTCTAAGAGGCAACTCTTGACAGGTCGTTAAAGAACTTCAGGATGGGGAGGGCTGGTTTCCAGAAAGACCGAGCCTTGACTAGAAGCTTTGAACTTTCAGCCCCATCCCCAACTCTGGGAAGGGCAGAGGGTCTACATACAGAGTTAATCACCAATGGCCAATGATTTAGTCAATCATGCATGTGTAATGAAAGCCTCCCCAAACCCCCAAAGGATGGCATCCGGAGATCCACTGGGATGGTGAACACATCAAGGTACTGGGAGGATGCAGCCCCCAGAAAGGTACTCCCCCTGCCCCCCATCCCCTGTCCTATGCACCTCTCCCCTCGGGCTATTCCTGAGCTGTATCCTTTATATAGGCCAGCAATGTGAGTCAAGGGTTTCCTGAGTTCTGTGGGCCATTCTAGCAAACTACTGAAACTCAGGGGCAGGCCAGAAGACTTAATTTATAGCCAGTTGGGTCGGAAGTACTGAGACAGGCCTCCAAAGTGGGGGCAGCCTGGTGGGGCTGAATGAGTTTAACTGTGGGATCTGACGCCAACTCCAAGTAAACAGTCCAAACTGAGCTGTTACTGGTCATCCAGTGAGCGCGCAGAGACCCGCAGAGGAGGTACGGGAAAAGGGAACACTCGGGGGGTGGGGGGGCGGGGAAGCTTCGCTGCCTGTCTCTCAAGGATTCACTGCCCTTCCCTGACTCATGCCCACTGTGTCATCTATTTTTAGTTGTTTCAGACAGGAAGGCCAATTGGTCCCTGTTACTCGACCTTGGTCAAAAGTGGAAATCCTCAAATGCAAGTCTTCTTAACCAGCCCCCCTTGGCTTCTTGTACCTACTTCCATCAAGAGAGGCTTAGATGAGAATCACAGGATTCTGTGCCTGCAGGATTCGTGAAACCCAAGGCAAAGCAAAAGCTTTGTCTCAGTGTCCCCAGTCCCCAGCACAGGAGCCTGGCCCCCATGAGGCCATGGCAAGATGAGGACCGCAGGCACACTCACAGGCTCCAGCTCACCTCCGAGAGCACAGAGGCCCTCAGTGCCACTCAGAGAGCCCAGGCCTGAGGCCTTACACCAGCATGTCACAACAAAACCTAAACTCTCACTAGCCCAGAGACATGGGGAATTTGCTTCCAGCTTCATGACGGTAAGAGGAGCTGGAACCAGAGCCCAGAACAGAAAGCATGTTCGAGAAGCTGGACAAAAGGCCTTGGGAAACTGCAATCAGAATAACGACAGACTCAATTACTCCTCTGTTTCATAATTCTCTTAGAAGCTGAATACATTTCCAGTTGGTAAAAGGGGACTTCCCTGGGCATCTCTTCCAAAGACAGATTAATGATGTTAGGTCTTATAAATATTTACTTAATTTGAGATCACTTCTTTCCATCACTTCTCATTTTAAAATCTCTAAAATAACAATAATGCTTGAGAAAAAGCCTTTTTAGTTTTAGATGAAGGGTAGGGGAAAACAAACTCCCGCTCTATCCTGATTACCCTAGCCATAACCATACCTTTATTATCTTGATGCACAGATACAGCACACAAAGTGTGAAGAATAAATTAATTCCTAGATATATTCTACAGGACTTTCCTAAATTAGGTCATAATAACTTTAAAGGTCAAGCAAAGGCAAAAACACTTTCATTCTTAGTACTAAGGCACCATGTGGCTCCTTGCAGTGAGCTATGAAACTTCCCCATTAGCATGAAAGCCCACATTTAGGACTTACATGAGAAACTGAAGGGGAGGAGGACTGAGCGGCCATGTAGATCATAGACTAAGAAAAACATTCTGATGCCCTTCACTGGAGCATTCTGAGGGGGAGGCTGAAAGCGCAATTGTGCTCTTCAAGGAGCAAGGGCAGCTAGCCTGGCAGGTGTAAGACTCCTTTCCCATAAATGAGGCCCTTACCAAAGACCTCTATCCAAGCAAATGCACGCCAAGTAGAGCAGATATGTTTTCACCAGAAGGACGATTTCCTGGCACAGCACTAATTATGTCCCGTTCCTGATTCAAGCCCTTCCAGACATCCGCGCTGTCCCCAGTATTAAGTATGAAAGAAACCCCATTACTCTGCTGCACATACTGTGGGCTCTTTCTGATCTGTAAACCCACACATCTTTTGGTGCCATCTGTTCCCACACATCGCATGTTCCTATCAGGGGTTTCCCGAAGTATGTCAGGGGTAGGTCCACAGAGTTTGGATATCCGGGATTAAACAAGGTTCAGCAGGTTTCCTTACTGTAGGAAAGCGTCAGGCCGCCAATGGGGCTTCTCCACACACAGCCCCTCTTCTCAAGGGCCTCCACCTGTAACCTGGCGCCCCACACACACCTCTCCTCACCCCTGCTGGCTGGCTCACCTCTGTGTGCTTTCCCCTCTTCTTTTGAAAATTGAAAGCACAGAAAAACAAAAGCACAGCATAAATGAACACCTGTATTCCCGCTCACAGGCAGCAGCGATCATCAGACCACACTACGAATGCCTCGTTTGCTTCAAGTCTTTTCTCGAATAAAAGAACAACATACGGTAAAGATGACAGTGTGCTCTGATTTCTCCCCAAAGCCAAGCACTTCACAAGTGTGTTCCATATCCTTCTGGTCCACTCTTAGGTTTTTTACTTGCAGTTGTATGTATTCACGAACAATAAATATCGTTAAAGCTGGACCGCGCCTGCGTGGCCTTAGGCTCAGGCCATGATCCCAGGGTCCTGGGATCGAGCTTCCTGCTCAGCAGGGAGCCTGCTTCTCCCTCTCCCTCTCCCCTCCTCTGGCCCGTCCCATGCTCTCTCTCTTAAGTAAGGTCTGTAAAAAAACATCGTGAAGTTTTACAAAAAGCTTAACGCAGAGACATCATACAGTAAGCAGAATTTACCCACTTTGTCACTCAACAGGGATCTACCCATACTGACATTCGACTAAGCCCAAGCTACCAATACTGATTTCCCTGACCTGCCAGCACTGATCCTGTTGTTTCTGCTATGACCTCCTGTTACTGGCAACTCAGCCGGGCCCGGTCTCTCAAGGCTTTGTGTGTCCTATCTTACCTCCTGTCTCAGCAGCCCACTGAGAAGGCGCTCCAAACGCCCACAGCCGGCCAGGGCAGGGCAGCACGGTCTCCGGGTCTGGCTGAGTCCCAGGCTACGTTCTGACCCACTGTACAAAGCGGCCCTCTTACCACCGACAGCCAAATGAGCAGCTTCCGCGGGCCCTGGCACTTTGTATGCACCTTGTCTCTCAATCCCCTGAACCCCCACTACGGTGTCGAGGATGATGAACTGTCCTCACTAGAGAGATGAAGACACTCAGGCTGGAGAAGATGTTGACGCCTTGGCGTAAGTGCCAACTATTCGGGTTCAAAGTCCAAATTCCCATCCCCCTAGGCTAACTGTCAGATTTACGTAAAAAAAAAAAAAAGGAAAGGGTTGAAGATGAGACGAGAAACACAACCCGGGCTGGCGTGAGACTGTGTAAGTGGGGCGTACCACTTGGCCGCCTCGTCCCTGAGCACTTGGCTCTGGGGCATCTCATGACCCGGGAGACGATACTCACGGTCATGGACCCGATAGCAGTGCTTCTGCAGCCGCCGAATGTCCCATTCCTCCAGCACGCCGTGAGTCATCAGCAACTGCAGGAATCTCCGGTGAACGTCGGTCATGACACCGGCCCTCCTAGGACCGCCCTGTGTGTGTGAAGGAGCTAAGAAAAGAAGCAGATGAAACCCAGTCACCTCCGAGCGCTCCGAAAGCCAAGTTCTGCACTGTGTACTAACTGACATTCACGACTAAATACTTGTTGTAGTTCTTGAGCTCAAGTGCATCCTGCTGAATGGCCCAAAGGGAAAAGGACACGGGTCAGGGGCAAGCCGACTAGCACCAGCAGGTGGGGAGAAGCGTGGCTTCTGGAGCCAGCCAGGACGCCGGCACCCAGCCTGTGCTACCACGTGAAGTGGGTGAAACCGGGCAACCGGACCTCCGTGTGCTTCGGTCTCTGATCTATGAGACTAACGACAGCAACGGCCTCCACGGACGTACTCCACTGATTACACAGTAACAGCCAGGTAACACACTAAACACTACGTAAGCGTTAGCTCTATTTACTTCTAGACCATTCTGGGTCTGAAACTCAGTCCAGCCACTTAGCAGATTGAAGGCCTTGGCTAAAGTCCACTGGGGCCCCATTTGCTCACGCTCAACTCAGAACAGCGTTCGCTGCCTAAAGAACTACTAGTAAGTGCTGAACCAGGACTAGTTTCCTTCTCCTCTCCCAAACCACTAATGAAACAACCGTCCCCCTGAGGTGCTTTTTCAATCTCTTGCTCTCTACTAACACATTATCTTTCCACAAACCACAAAGATCAGGGCTGATAAAAAGCATTGCACAAGTCCTGATCAAAGAGCCCGCTCTCGCCACGGAGAGGTGGCACCGTGCGGAGGCAAAGAGCATGGGCTGAGCAATCGGCAGGTGGTGTGGAGACGCCTGTTTGCCAGACCTGCTCAATCTCGAGAATCAGAGAACCTGTGCATGAAAAATAGAGATTCCTGGGGCCCTGTTTCTGGAGGTTCCGACCGCCAAGGGGCCTGGAATTCTGAGGGTTTGACACTCACTTCAGGCGACGCCGCCATCTGACAAGAAAATCGCTGTTCCCTACGGCAGATACAGCACGAAAACACTTGTAGCTAACAAGCTTCATCTCTCTCAGCCTCAGTCTTTTCAGCTACAAGATGGGGCTAACAAAAAACTATCTTTAAGACAGAAGATGCCATTTAAATGAGATATGACTATGCTGGAGGCTGCCAAGGAGCTTGGACCTAGGACACACACACAAACGTTAGCTGCTGCTCACTGTTCTTTTTTTTTTTTTTTTTTTTTTAAGATTTTATTTATTTACTTGACAGGGAGAGATCACAAGTAGACAGAGAGGCAGGCAGAGAGAGAGAGAGAGGGAAACAGGCTCCCTGCTGAGCAGAGAGTCCGATGCGGGACTCGATCCCAGGATCCTGGGATCATGACCTGAGCCGAAGGCAGCGGCTTAACCCACTGAGCCACCCAGGCGCCCCTCACTGTTCTTTTTAAACAGCACATCAACTGGGCCTCAGGGGTGGGAAGGCACACAAGCTCAGGGCCAGCTTCTCCGACTGCCTGCTAGCTATCTTCGAGAACAGCTCAGCAGTGATTCAACCTAAGTTGGGCTCATCTTCTCCTTGCCCCATCCTCAATCCCTTTCTTTCTTTGCCGGAGTCCTTTTCACGAATCTTCTGGTTTGGGAGAAGGAGTCCACGCAGTCACACAAACACCACAGGCCCGACCGTCCAACTCTCATCCTCTTCCCCCCCACCCCCACCCTCGGATCCAGCCAGTCACCATGTCCTGCCAAAGTTAATTTCCTATCACTAGGAGCAGCAACATTAAATCCAACAGCAAATTAAATCCAGAAAAAGTTAAAGAAAGTCAATAATAAAGAGCCAAAAACAATGAAATTAATGTACATTTGAATTCAACAAAACCAAAATTTTTCTTTGGAAAAAAACACAACAAAAGCAACCAACCTTTGACAAGATTTTCCGAGAGAAGACTGAAAAATAAACACTATTTGGAATGAAAAGGGGGAACTAGTTGAAGATACAAACATTTTTTTTTAATTTTTATTTATTTATTTGACAGAGATCACAAGCAGGCAAAGAGGCAGGCAGAGAGAGGGGGGAAGCAGGCTTCCTGCTGAGCAGAGAGCCCGATGCGTGGCTCGATCCCAGGACCCTGGGATCATGACCCGAGCCAAAGGCAGAGGCCTTAACCCACTGAGCCACCCAGGCGCCCCACAAACATATTTTAAAAAAGACTTAAACAACCTAACAATAATCTGAAGTTTTAAATATACACAGAGTTATGGGAAATCCATTTAAAACCAACTAAAGAGGGCACCTTTTAAAAAAAATTAAAAAAAAAAACAACTAAAGGATTATCTGAAAACTAACAAGTTTTTTAAAGACTTTATTTATTTATTTGACAGACAGAGATCACAAGTAGGCAGAGAGGCAGGCAGAGAGAGAGGAATGGAAGCAGACTCCCCGCTGAGCGGAGAGCCCAATGTGGGGCTCGATCCCAGGACTCTGGGATCATGACCTGAGCCGAAGGCAGAGGCTTTAACACACTGAGCCACCCAGGTGCCCCAGAAAACTAACAAGTTTTATAACCACTGGAGACCTTCTGTGGGAAGTCCATCTTCCCACGAAGAAAACTTCAGATCCAGTTGGTTTTATCAAGAAACCCCGCCAAACATTCTGGAAGCAAGTGATTTCAAATGTCACAAAACTATCCCAGGACCTACAGAAAAGCAAACCCTCCCCCAAATCATCTGATAAGGCTGACGTCAGTTGGGCATTAAAACCTGGGGCGCCTCGATGGCTCAGTGGGTTAAGCCTCTGCCTTCGGCTCAAGTCATGATCTCAGGGTCCTAGGATCGAGCCCCACATCGGGCTCTCTGCTCAGCAGGGAGCCTGCTTCCTCCTCTCTCTGTGCCTGCCTCTCCGCCTACTTGTGATCTCTCTCTCTCTCTGTTAAATAAAGAAATAAAAAATCTTAAAAAAAACTAAAAAAAAAAAAAAAAACCCAACCGAGGCTTCAAATGAAAGGAAAATAAAAAGGCCAGTATCTTTCAGAAACACAGCTCCGGGGGGGTCCAAAGCAAAACATTAATCGGATCTAGCAACACAGAAAGATGACTTCATGGTGACCAGTTGGGGTTATCCCCTCAATGGCTTAAGATTTGAGAATCAATTGAATGTCATATGTCAATAATATCTCAATAAAGCTGGAAAAAAAATCAGTGTGATCACCACATTAACAGAATACAGAATAAAAGCCTATAATCATCTTAACAGATTCAGAAACTATGATTAAATTTAACAGTTACTCATACTAAATACTTTGAATTGAAGGAAACTTCCTTTATTTACTAAATGCTATCTACAAAAACCTATGGTGAACATAATACTTAAGGGTGGCCTATTGAAAGCGATCACTTTCAAACCCAAATTGATCCAATGCAACTGAACCTACGCGATTCGGATCAAAATCCCCATAGGCTGGGTGCATCTGGGTGTAATTTGACAAGACGATTCCAACATTTGCATTTACGTGGAGACACGTAAAGGCAAAACAGCAAAGCCATTCGGGGAGAAGATAAAGACAGGAGGACTTGTCCTACCAGGTAGCAACTTATTTTAAAGCTAGAGTAATGAATAATGTATGATAATACTACAGACATGGACCAAATAAGAGCAGGGGGACAGCACAGAGAGAACCCAGACACAGAAATGCACACAGGTATGGTTATTCAACAGGTTGGAGAAATGGAACTCCGGCTCAAAGCAAGCTTTTTAATAAAAGATGCCAGAACAACAGATCACCCTACAGGAAAAAAACAGAGAACTCGACCTTCACCTCACACTAGGCACAAAAATCTTTTTGAGCAGTCAGGTCGTAAGAAAGAAAACACTATAAAACGTTGGGCAACAATACAGAACATTCTCTATGAGCCAAAGGCAGGGAAGGATAGCTTTAAAAGATAGAATAATAAAAATAATGATACAAAAAGCACAAACCATAAAGGAATATACTGATACACGTGACTTTGTTAACATTAAGAACTTCTGTTCACCCAAAATACTTCAGAGTGGGAGAGAGAGAAGACAAGCTACAAACTGGACAGCATCTGAAACTGAAGCCACAGAAGATTCGTACTCAGAAGAGGTAATGAGTTCCTACAAATCAGTAAGGGGAAGACAAATGTCAAGAGAAAAATCAGCCACAGAAATTTTCAAAGAGGATGCACAAATGGTTCATAAATATATTTAAATGGCTCTGTATTGATGTCATCAGGCAAATTAATATTCAAATCCCAGTGACCAATGTTTACTCATCACCAGATAGGCAAAAAGTTCTGAAGAACGGCCTGGGCTAAAACTCACCCATAGCTGGTGGAGTGTAAACGCGTACAAACCACCCAGACTGGTCAGTCTTACTCACAAATGTGGGTATCCCCGGAAATCCACTATTCTGTATACAATTTAGAGAAACTTTTCTACATCTGCTCCAGGAAATAGGTTTATAAACACACCATGTGGCAGTAAAAATCTGGCAAGAGTGTCCACGACTATCAGTTGAGGAATGCCTACGGAAAGCGTTTATAATTAAACCATGGAATTCAAAATTGCAAGGAAGCAATGAGGGGGATGTAGAGCTACTCACATCACCTTGGACGCATGTCATACACATAATGTGACGCAAAAACAAAGGCAAATATATATATGACGATCCTATATAAAATTCACAACCTAGCAAAACCATATGTAGCAGTCATTACAGACACATAGTAAAAACCGCAAAGAAAAACAAGGGAATGAGTAACACGATACTCAGGGCACTGAGTCATCTTTGGTGAGGGGAAGAAAGAATTCAGCGGGGGCTTTCAGGGTATGATAATGTTCTATTTCTTAACTTGATGATGCGTATATGGGTGTTCCTATGATTTTTATCCTTCGAACTTAAATTGCAAACATTTTTATAGAAATGTTACCTATCTTGATTATAAAACGAAGAAATGGTGTAAATGTGTTACGTTAGCCAAAATAAATGTTAGTAAGAAGGACCAACTACAGAACGTCATAGAAGGCTACAATTTAGGGGAAAGAAGAGGAAAACAGATACAGATAGGCGTGTTTTTACACAGAAGGCAGTTGTCTGAAGAGGGACCGGGCAGCAGAGATTAATCGTGGCTAACTGCCTACCCAAATAATTAAAAAATAGAAACGTCTGTGCAATAAGCAGATCTCAACCGTCACCATCTGAGCCGCCAGCGAGGCTTGGGGCGAGTGCTTCTCTGTGGTCTCGCTCCATCCTCGCTGGAACCTGAGGACGGAAGCATTACTGACTCCATTTTACAGATGAGGAAACAGAGAGGGAAGGCACAAGGGGATGCACAGAATTAGTGATGGATGGGAGTGGGGATGAGGGGCGCAAAACAAAAGCAAAGTTCAGGAACTGTAGCATCCCCAGCAAGGTAAGCGAGACACGGGAGGCAACAATTAAGTCATGATCGCTCAGCTGCAGGGATCCCTTACCTACAATTCTCAAATCTAAAAAAGGTCTTAAAACCCCATCTTTTAAGTGTGAAAACCTGACCTGACCTGAGGTGAGGCTATTTCTGGCCGTTCTTTAGTTCCTTTGGTGTAAATCTGCGCACATTTAGCGGTGAAAATAGCGGTGAATTTGATTACAAGAAGCTGCCCCAGACCCCAAGGAAGGTATGACATACCATCGAATCTATGCATCATATTCCTCTCAAAAGTCCCCAAAACTGGGGCGTCTGAGTACGTCTCGCCTCGGGGCTTTAAAATACGAGGCTGTGGGCTTGAACAAAGTTGGGGTTTCTGTAACACGACCGAGAGCACAAGCACAGAGGGCGGCGAGAAACCGTGAGGTGGTCCGCGAAGGCCGTATTTTCCCTATTCGGTTCAGGCAGAATTCTGTATTTTGCTTTTGTCACCTAATATCAGGATGACATCGATATTTGCACCTGATACCACGATTTCATAACGTCTGTGTGTCGGGGGCACTAGGTTGCAGCCTACTGGCCTTCCTGTCCCTCTCTGGGCCTGAATCCTCATCAGGAAATGAGGAGACCCAAGTCCCCGGGCCCCCAGCGCCACACTCCGGCACAGGCACGGGCCGAACCCGGGGCCTGACGCCCACCTTCCGTCCTCCGTCGCCTCTCCGCACGGCCCTCTTCCATCCCCGACAGCCTCGCAGCCCCACGGCCCGATCACCCACCGCGGTAGCCGAGTGCAGCCCCCAGTGCTGGCGACCAGGACAGAAAAGGCGGGCGCGGCTCCTCCTTCAGGGCGGAGCGAACGCGGGATCAGCGCTCCCATTGGTGGATGTCGCCTATTTGTCCCTCCCACCGGGTGACGCACTTCCTGCCGTCCTGTTCGCGCCGTTGCCTTGGTGCCAAGGAGCCGTTGGGGTAGGTGGGGAATTAACGCACTTCTCCCGCCGCTTTCCACACCTTACCCAGCGGCGGGGCTGCCGCCTGTGGCCCTCCACCTCCAGCCCCGCAGTGGCACCCCGCGACCTTACTGGAGGGAGGGCAGGCATGTAGCGGGACCCTCCCCCGAGTAGCCGCGGCTTCGCGGACGCAACCCAGTGCCCGTCCCGGGCCTCAGTTTCCCCACCTGTACAACCGACCCTGTGGCCTCGGGGTCAGCAGTGAGGACTCTTGCTGCCATATAGCTTGAGCTAGAATCCTGGCTCTGCCACTTGCCAGATCTTGGGTGAGTCTCTGAGCTGCCCTGAGCCTCCGTTTCTTCTTCTGTTACATGGGGAGGATCGCGGTCCTCAAGGGACAGCGTGTTCGTGAGGTTTAAGAGAATGCGCACTGGAAGTGCTGGAAGTCAGCTACTGTGTTACTTAGGGATTGTTAGGAGAAGCGAATGAAGTTCTTAATAGAAGGAATGGACTGTTGGAGGGCACCCATTTGACAAACACTTGCATCTCAGTGCCTGATCTGGGAGCTGGGGATGCAGTCTAGCAGGGAACAGGTAGCTAATTCTAATAAAGCAGAAAGTGCAAATATCTATGCCTCTGTGATGATGGCTTCAAATCCCTACTTGCCCGGTTACACTCCTGTGATCTTGGACAGTTTCTCAACCTCTCTGGACCTCAGTTTCCCCATCTGCTGAGCGAAGAAAGCAATAGCATGTGGTGGGTGAGGGCTTGAGCTGGGAGCTGGACCATCTGGACCTGAATGCTGGTTCTTAAACTCAGTATGTCTGACACCCAGGACAAAATACTGAAGCTCTCCCCCTCAATTTGCTCACCCATAAAGCAGGTATAATCATAGCACATTGTTGACAGGATCACCATGAGATTAAATGAGTTAAGACATGCAAAGCTCTTAGAGTATCTGGCATATAGTAAGCCCTTAGTAAGTGTGAGTTATCTTTACTAATAAAGTACTTTATAAAATGCCTTGGGGGCAGTCAAAGAGAAGAACAGCTCTAAGGAGACCATCTATGTTTTGTTTGTCCTGCATACTTTTGCACAATTTTGAATTCATTATCAATATTTAGAGCTGGGCATTTCACATAAAACCTTAGGGTATCTGACAGCTCTTGAAAAATGGGGCAGTCTGGCCACAATAGGCCAGCATCCCCCTATGGCTGTCCTTGTTTAAAGCTTGGTAGAGACTATGTCCCTCTGTGATGACAAATGTGCTTTTGTGGGGTGTAGAGAAATAAAAACGGGGGCCCGTGAGTGGACGACACTGGGGACACTGACATTTCAGGATCAAAAGGCCAAGAAAAGAGGTAGAAAGAAATGAATTCAAGACCAAATTGTATCAGAAGCGAACGGGCGGGAGAGACTATTAAGTTACAGTGAGGTGTGGTCTGAATTGTCAGTGTTCTGGAGAGGTCAAGGAGGACACACCCGACAGTGAGACCCAGAGAGATAGGAGGAGGTCAAGGAGGACACACTGACAGTGAGACCCAGAGAGACAGGAGGAAGCGAGATTGGCCTCCAAGAGAAGTGAGTGCCTGGAAGCTGAGGGAGTGGAGAGAGTTGCTGACTGCTTCTAGGATGGGTGGTTTGGGAAGGGGAGACCTGAAGACAGGAGCAGAGGGAATAGCCAATAGAAGAAAAACAAGGGAGAGAGGAGGGAATGGGGTCAAGGGCATATGGAGACAGGATTACTCTTACCCAAAAAGGAAGAGAGATCTCTGAAACAGGAGGAAAGGAGGGAACAAAGGATGGATAAAGGTTCACCAAACCTTTAAAAAAAAAAAAAAACACGAGGTATTTTCTGTTTTCTCCATAAAGTAGCAAACTCTCATTCTGCTAAGCAAAGGAGCTGGGAGATGCTCAGGGATTTTAGGACAATCAAGGGTTTGGAACAGATGCCAAAGGGAATGCAAAAGTGAGCTTCCAGCTAGGGTTGAAACCATAAATGTGTAGAGAGGATAGTCCCTCCTGATCCCTGGGGAACCTCCCATCCCCATACCAGGGGCCCCAGAGCAGAAAAATCTGTGTGGACTCATCTTGGGGTGGGTCTTGGCTTAACAAATGCAGCTGACTCTAGAAGCCAAAGCAACTGGAGGGTGTTGGTGGGAAGGTCTTTGAAGTCATCCGCCACCCCATGGACAGGGAGGAAGGGAATGTGTTGAGAAGTTAGCATGGAAGGGGACAGCACCCAGAGGTCCCAGTGAGGTGGCTTACCAGGTGACTGTCCTGTCTCAACAAGTCTCCATCTTCAGAAGACAGCCCACTCTCTAGCTGGCTCAATGAACATTAGGACCTTCAAGGACCTTCGATGTGCCAGACCTGGGGCTGTCTGCTTCAGGACAACTCTGCCAGCTCAAATATTCTTCTGGAAGTTGACCGTGAAAGGTACAGGAGCTCCGTGGACATAAATTCACCGTACATAAGGCAGGTGGCCGACACCCTGGCTGGAGAGGAAACTTGGGGGCAAATCATAGGCTAAGGGGGTTGGTCTTTTTACTCTGAAGACCACAGAAGCTATCGGGGAGGAAGTGAGGAGATCAGGTTTGTAGTTTAGAAAAAGAACATCAGCACATCTGTTCTTTTCAAACATACTGGGAACATTTACAGAAATTGACCGTTTACTGGCCACAGAGGAAGTCTCAATAAATTCCAAAGAATCTATAGACCACATTCACGAACCACAATGAAGTAAAATGAAGAATCAACAAAAACACAACCAGAAGGAAACCCAAACCACTTGTAGTTCTTAAATTAGTAACTGAAAATGCTTCTGAGGAGAGAGTCCTGAAGACAGGATAATCTATTTTTTTTATCATGTACTACTAGTACTTATGAAAAAATAAAACTAAACATAAGCCAGGTGTTCATTATATTACTTTTTATACCTGTGTGTATGTTGAAAGATTTTATAACATTTTTAAGAGAAAAAGAACAAACATTTGGAAACTGAAAAAATACATGTAAAAAAGAAAACCAATATGGAAATTACAAAATATTTAGAAATGAATGACCAAAAAAAACCCTAATATAATGAAACAGGTGGGATCCAACTAAAACAATAATTAGTGGGAGGATTTATAGCCTTAACTGTACTTAAGACAAAACAAGAAAAAAGTGTAAGTGTTCAATGTAAGAGGTAGATACAAAACTAAATAACCCAGAGAAAACAGAAAGAAGGAAATAACAAAGCAAAAGGCAGATATGAGTAGAACAAAAAAGAAAATTGAGTTGATTATGGAAACCAGAAACTAGTGTTCTATTGAAGACTAAATACAACAGACAGATTTCTTGTAAGATTTATTGAAGCAATATTATAAATGGCTAAAGAGAGTGTAAAAATTTGAGAAAGCATAGGAGTATCATGAATAACTTGACGCCAATACATTTGAAAATCTAGATTAAAGGGGCAATCCTTGACAAAATTACAAATTACAAAAGTTGTTCCTAGAAGAGAGATAGACCAAGAATCGTCAATGAAATTGAAAAGGCAGTGGGTCTCTTCCAACTCCTTAAATGCCCAGGCTGGGAGAGTTTTACTAGAGTGATACACAAATGCAAACAAACTATATTGTGCAAACTGCACCAGAATTCTAACAAGACAGAGAAATCTATCCAAACATTCTATGAGGCTAATCTAATCTTGATACCAAAACAAGACAGCAGAATTAAAGAAAATGTCAGGTCCATGTATATTATAAGCATGGATGCAAAAAATTGGGTCTCTTAGTGTCTCAAAAGACATTCTCTTATGGTGAGTGATGTTGAGCATCTTTTCATGCATCTGTTGGCCATCTGCATGTCTCCTTTAGAAAAATGTCTATTCAGGTCCTGTGCCCATTTTTAATTGGATTTTGGATTATTTGTTTTGTTTGGTGTTGAGTTGTAGAAGTTCGTCATATATTTTGGATACTAACCAGGGAAATGCAAATCAAAACCACTAGATATCACCTTACACCCGCCAGAATAGCTAAAATTAAAAAAAAAAACACAAGAGATAACAAGTGTTGGTGAAGATGTGGAGAAAAAGGAACCCTTGTGCACTGTTGGTGAGAATGTAAGCTGGTGCAGCCACTGTGGAAAACAGTGTGAAGATTCCTCAAAAATTTAAAAACAGAAATAGCATATGATCCAATTATTCCATTAGTGGGTATTAACCCGAAGAAAACAGAAGCACTAATTCAAAAAGATATATGCATCCCTATGTTTATTGCAACATTAGTGGCAATAGCCAAGATATGGAAGTGATCTAAACATTCATTAATAGACAAATGGATAAAGAAGCCGTGATGTGTATGTATATATGAATATGAATATTATGCAGTCCTAAAAAAGAATGAAATCTTGCCATATGCAACAACATGGATAGACCTAGAGGCTATTATGCTAAGCGAAATAAGTCTTCCCGAGAAAGACAGATACCATATGATCTCACTCATATGTGGAATCTAAAAAAACAAAATCAATGAATAAACGAACAAACAAAAAGCAGAATCAGACCTATAAATACAGAGAACAAACTCCTGGTTGCTGGAAGGAAGGGGGAGGGGCAAAATGCGTGAAGGGAAGTGGGAGAGATAGGCTTCCAGTATGGAATGAGTAAGTCACAGGAATGAAAGGCACAGCATAGGGAACAGAAGTAATGCAGCACAGTGACCAATGGTAGCCACATTTGCGAGCACAACATAACATACAGAGATGTCAAATCACACCTGAAACTAATACAACATTGTGTGTCAACAAGACTCCAATTAAAAAAAAAAAGTTAATAGACTGTCTCTTCCAGAAGAGGAAATTCAAATGGCT